AAGTCCCGGCGCTGTCGAAGCCAGTGACTCCTCTCGCTGCGGACGTGAACCCCGAGAAGATGTTTGGTCATTTCGGGGACAGGAAGCCGTCAGAGACTCTTGGGAAGAGCAGCACGCCACTATCAAACTCTCAGTCTGCGAAGCCCAAGTCCTCACGATTCGCAGGATTCTTTGCGCCGAAAGAGGAAAAACCGCGAGCGCAGGCTGAAGCTCTTCTGCCAACGGCCACGACTGCGAGTCCGGCGCCAAGCGTTCCAAACGAGGACAAAGAGGGATTCCAGCGCATTTTGCAGATGCTCGGAGGGGCAAACATCGGCTCGCAGCCCTCCCAAGCGAAGCCAGTTGGTAGTGGTCCAGCGTCTCTGTCCGACTTGCTGTCTACGCACAAGCCCTCGCAGAGTGCGCGTGCTTCCCAACAGACCGAAGTCATTCCATTCGATGATGGTAAGGATGTGTTCGGAGCACCGATGCGAGACCACGTGCTCAAGCGCGAGGCCATCGCTGAATTGCAGCATGAAGATCACGAGAGCATACGAGCAATGACTGGCCAAGAAGGTCGTGCATTATTCTCCCCTAGGGAGGAGTTCGGGCAAGGGAACATGCCTGAGTCCATGGGCCCTAATCGGGGCTTGCGCGAGCAGCGTCGGTCCATGTACGACGATACATCGCTCAGGAATGGGCCGAGCCGTGATTCCGCGGATCTGAAGTCGCTGCTTAACAACGATGCTGCGAGACCAGCACATCTGAGTCGTGACAGGGAGTTTCTCTTGAATCTTATACAGCCTTCCATGCAGACCTCCATCGAGCGTCGGTCTCAGCAGGCGCCAAGACAGCTCGACAGCGATGGCTTCCAACTGTTCCTCGACAACAAGCCACCCCACCAGCCGGCACCGAAGCCTGAAGCACTTCCACCTGGCTTGTTCGATGGCCGCCTTCTAGACAATGGTCCGTTCAGCCAACCTGACCCGCAGAGGCGCGATCAAGACGCGAGCCATGAGCGTGCTTTGCGGCAGATGCGTCAAACCTCGCAGCGACCAACCTCAGGGTTTTTCGAAGACTCCTCGAACCAGTTCCAGCGCAACAAGCCACAACAGGAGCCCAACCCAAACAGACGCCCCAGCATACCGCAACACCAACAGTTCCCGCACGACAACTTCTTCATGAAAGCGCAGATGCAGCAAAACCAGTCGCAGCCACAACCCCAACACCCGCAAGCACGCACACAGCAAGACCGCAACGTCGCCCCTCCCCCCGGCTTCAGCGCTAGCATGCGTCACGCACCCGGCTTCGGCATCCCCGGCCCTCCCCCAATGAGCTACGGTCCCTACCACGGCGCTCCTCCTCAGGGACCGCAGGGCGCCCCGCCTGGGTTCTTCAACCCGTCCAGCGCGCCTGGTGGCGGCATGGGCCAAGGAAGCATGCCACCTGGGTTTGCGCCCCCGCACCTGCGAGGTGACTTGACACCGCAAATGTTCGAAGGCGGTGCCATGAGGATGAACATGGACGGTGGCCGCAACATGCCGCCGCTGGCTCCTCCTCCTCCGGGTGTAGGGACCAGTGGCCGACCGCAGTACGAGGCGTTTGGCGAGATGGGACCGCCGAAGCAGATGCTGCCGCAGATGGGCCCGCCGGGCATGGAGTGGGGATATGGCATGCTAGGGTCCCGAAAGCAGTAAGAGCCATGAGAGATGTGGATCTCGCGGAACATGGCTGTCGGGTCAGGATCTTGCTGTGGGTCAGCTTCGAAGAGTGGTACCTGGTCGGGATGATTTCGAAACACATAGTCGAGACTGTGAGTACAGTCCGGCGTATCTGCAATCATGTGCAGGCGATCTGGCCTTTGTGGGAGAAGGCTAGGTGGTCGGAGGTCATGCGCGGCTTCAGCGCCGGGACCGTAGCCAGAAGAGCCTGTCACGAAGGGGACTATGGTATCGCAGTTCATCAGAAGTGACTTCGCTCTCCGAAACCCCATAGTGCTATATACGAAGCAGAAATGAGATCACCTCTATACAGGTTGCAGCCGGTGTCTGCCTCTAAGCTTGCAGGTGCTGTTCTTTCAGGTGATCGCGTAGCTTGCTCTGTCCTGAGGAATAAATGCATGTGTTGGTCAGAGCCAGCGACGTAGAAGTACTAGCTCAACCTGGACGGGTTTCGAGCGAGATGCGTATACACGCGGTGGTAACAAAAAATCGGGAATGAACTACGGCTGGCTGCGGCTTTAGAAGATGGATTCGATCGATAGCCAGGTTGATGTGATGCAAGCAAACCACCTGGTTAATCGAGTCAACGGAGTGCTGCCTTCCTCGAGCATTCCCAACTTAACGCCGTTCGTATAACGGCGGCAGTTTCTCATGCTCAGTATATATACAACACGCACTCAAATTCTACCTCAAAACGGTTGTGTAGTGTAGCGGTTAGCACTTCAGATTTTGATTACATAATCAATGCTTTCTGGAAACCCCGGTTCGATTCCGGGCACGACCTTGCATTTTTGGGCCTAGCTCGGCCCTTGCGAGCATGGCGTTACCCTTTTGGGCCTGACGCTACCCTTTCGGCGTGACGTTACCCTTTTGGGCCTTTTTGTCGCGTCGGCTTTTGACGAGAGGGGAAAAGACGTTGTTGTTTCTGTTGTCAATGGTCTTTCCAACGCCCTGCGAAGTCGCGTGGCAGGCAAGAAGGAGCATTTGTACGGATTTGGCAACCCACAGAACCGAGCTGCGCTAGTCCAGGACCGTCCCCATCTTCACGACGATCTCCATCGTGAATGCGTGGAGATGGTGGCGTTTCTTGCAGTCAACTTAATGATTCCCCAGTCGTTGCTGTAGACTCCAGTGCGTTGACAATCGGTCGACTACAACGCATCTGGAGGAACGCGCACGGGAATGTCGCGTCGGGGATCGATCGTCACTTGAGCAAGGTAGGCTCTGCTCCATCTTCGCACGATCAGGAGAGTCCCAGCAACGGCGCAGATTGCGGTGCGTTCGGCTCACGAGGCAACACGACGCCAAGTGGAGTCGAACCGATCGTGCGTACAGTAGATGCTTTTCTACCAGACTGAGCCGCACCGTGCTCGAAGACAGCTGCCTCCCGAAACCCGCACGCAAGCACGGCGCTGTCGCCTTGTCGAACGAGGGTGTGTCCAAAGCAGCGTGCGCCTCGTGCTGCCCACGCCCAGCCCGCACCCTGCTGTCACGCAAGAAGAGAGAAGAGGAGACGGCGAGCGATGGATCGGCGCCGTCCCGTCCATACGTACACACTGGCTATATACAACGCACTGTACACTGCACCCCCACCCCCCTCACTCCTCCTCTCAGGGATCCGCGCTCTTCGGGTTCTGCAGATACACGTCCGGCACCTTTGGCACTCGCGGGTTCTTCTGCAGCAACTGCGCTCTCACAGCATCCCGTGGTTTCTCTTTCTCTCTCACGTCAGGGCCGCCGCCGCCGCCGCCGCCGCCGCCGCCGGTCAGGCGGCGCATGCCCGAGCGCAAGTTGGATCGTAGGCCGTGACCGGGGCGGATGATGTTTTCGAGGGAGAAGGACTTGTCAGAGGGTGCGCTGCGGCCAATCGAGGAGTCGTCATCGGACAAGGGCTCGTCGCCTCCTTCGTCGCCGGAGAGGAGGTCGGGGGGTTGGGAGGCTTGGTACTGGTCCCGTTGTCCCGGAGACGTCAGTGAGCGCGGCGGTAAGCCCGGCCGGGCCAGGGTCGCGGTCGTTGCTGGGAGGTTGAAGGCAGTGGGCGTCATGACCTCTGGGTCGCGGCTCGCGGGTGGGAGTTTCAGGTCGCCGAAGTTTGTCTGGAAGGACGTCACGCTTGTGTTGTGTTGGAGCGACTTGTGGAGGATGGGCAGGGTCTGCTGGTCGTACAGGTCTTCGCGCACACCACCGGTGCCGTTGGCGTATCTCGCAGCTTGGGCAGCGAGTGCGTGGCTGTTCTGTCGGGTGAGTGTTTCCTCGGAAACGCTGTCTTCGAAGAAGTCGTCGAGGCTATCCAGCTTCATGACCAGCTCGCCCATGTTGCCGTCTCCTCGCGCGTCGTCCGACATCATTGTTGCGGTGCGGTCGGGGAAATACGAATACTGATACTCTTCGTGGAATTCAATCTC